TAGCAACGCACACTGCTGAAAAAAGAAAAAAAAAAGCTCGCATTTTCTGATTTAAGTATGCTTGTAACACAGTAATAGGTATACAGCGTGTGTTTCTCAAGATCTACAGATTCGTTTAAAAAAAATCATGAACTCACTAACGCTGTCTATGCAAGTGAGTTATGTGGTCAGGATAACACAATGCGGGGGTTAATTATCAGAGTAGGTCCCATAATTACATGAACTTTATTAACTAACTTTTTAACCAGTGAACAAAAGCACGTGGTTCTAATTAGATACTTGCAGAATGTAATCGAAAACTAAAAGTTCAGTAATTTTTAGAAAGACTTCGAGTACGTGGGAAGCGCGGTGCTGCACTAAAATTGACACGTGCAACAGGCTGAAGGCTGGCGGTGGGAAAACGGGAATGATTAGAGACATTAATAATAATAATAATACATTTATTGTATGGAGCACAACACTGTTTGCGTGACGGGCGCATCAAAGCCAAAACAAGGCTTGTGTGATGCTACCCTAAAATTAACACTTTAAACATTGCTACCCGGTATACAAAAGGAAATAAGACAGATTGACATACACACGTCCTTAGAATGTCCCAAAGTCAAAGTCAGCAGTTGGGTGCATGCAACACACAAAATCACGCCTCCAAATACTGATTCAAGTACATAGATAAGGTTTAAAAGAACTTAATATAAAAAAATAACGATAATCACGAAGACCAAAGTGTCGCGCCTGATGTGTAAAAGAAAAGAAAAAATAGTCAGGCGAAAAACGAAATTGCAGTACGCGGCGTCCAACGAGCGATTGTCCAGAACGTCCAGGCTAAATATGTGAAACCCACACTGGAAAAAACTAAACAAAGTAAAACAGAGATCATCAAAAACTCATACTTCTAAGTGATTTCTTAAGTTTACGGAGCGAAGTAAGGCCTAGAAGCTCGGGCGGTAGCTGTGAGAAAAGCTTTGGAACGTAATATGCTCGCGTACTTTCACCGTATCGGGTATGCACGAGAGGTATTTGGAAAGGCTGCACGTGTCGGAGGGCACGAGATGATGAGCTTAAAGTTTTGAATTCAGAGCTCCAGAAATGTCTCAAAATAACTGTGTGAACATAGAGGGTGTGAAAGTCAGGCAGTTGAAGAAGGTCGAAAAGAGTGGTGTCCTCGGGTATTTGCATGTTATAGGAGACACTCTTTAGGATTGCTTTAAGGATGCTGTCAATTCTAGCTCTCCAGAAAGCGTAACAATTACCAAAAACTGTTATGCCATACCGAAGGATACTGTACCCTAGAGTATGAGCAATAACCTTACGAACAGAAAGAGGCATGAGACATTAGGATCTATATAAGATGCAGCTGGCGCTCCTTAATTTTTTGCAAATATATGCTAAATGGGCATGCCATTTTAGGCCACTATCGAAAAAAATACCAAGGTACTTAACACTACTAGCGTACTCTAAGGGGACACAGGCGCACTGATTACAAGCAGATGAGTGTAAAATAAAAGGAATGCTGAGATTGATTGTTTTATGTGGATTGTATAAACACATTAGTTTTGTTTTCTTTACATTGATAGCGATTAGGTTTTTCTCAAACCAGTCCATGACCGCAGTCGCATGGTGCTGTAACTGGCGAATCGAGTCTACGTAATTAATATGTTGGGACATGATTACAGTGTCATCTGCGTACTGATAGATCTTGCATCCTGGTACATAGCTGGCGATGTCATTGACAAAGATGTTAAACAAAAGTGGTGACAAAATTGAACCTTGTGGTACACCTGATTTTAGTTTGGTTCGTGTGCTTTGAAAACCTCCAGCAGATACCAGCTGGGAGCGATTGTCAAGATAGCTCTCAAAAAAAAAAAAAAAAGTGCCACGGAAGCCTATGCTGTGAAGTTTACGTAAAAGTAACGAGTGACTAACGGTGTCGAACGCTTTAGATACGTCCAAGAATAGTGTTGACGTGACAACGTTGTTATCAAAACCAGAGTAAAGATAATCAGAAAAATCTTCCAGAAGGGGCTGCGTGCCCTTCCCATGCACGAATCCAAACTGAGTAGGTGACAATATATTAAATTTATCTAAAAAAGACGTCATTACCTGAAACACATGCTTTTCGAGTATCTGCACGATTATCGGTAGAATAGAAATCGGTCGATAATTTTCGATGTTATTTTTGGCACCACCTTTGTATAGAGGACGCACTATTGATGTTTTAAGGTCGTCGGGAATCGATTTAGCCTCAATAAAGCCGTTTAACATACAAAGAAGGACCGCTTTGAGACTGACATAATTTCTGCGAAGATCGGAGAGACGAATGTTGTCAATTCCAGGCGAGTTGCTTGGCTTAAAGCTAAACAAGATCGAGTGCAGATCCGTCTCTTGGAGTGGGAATAGCAACGCAGAGGAGCTGACAGTGTTACCAATAGGAGTTGGTGGATCTCTCGCCTTTCCAGAAAAAGTAGCAAAGAAAGCGTTGAAATTTTCTACAACATGACATAAATTACCGCCAAAATTTTGCTTCATCGTATCGTCGATAGAGTGGCGCGTGCTAGTTCCACGGAACTCATTAATCAGGGACCAAGTTTTTCGTGCATCTGAATGAAATTCTGCGAATTTTTTCTGGTAGTAGTTTCGTTTGGCAGATCTAATCATTGCGTTGACTTGTTGCGAAGGATTTTAAAGTCTGACTTCAATTGCACGTTGTTAGGTGAACGACGGCATCTAGCCCATAAAGCATTTTTATCGCTAATTGCTGTCAAAATATTTGTATTTAGCCATAAAAGGTCAGGGTTACGTTTCTTTATGTACACCTCTTTCCGACAGGTATTATAGAATTTATCAAACAAAAGAACGAAGTTTTTATATACGTCACTGTGGTGGACGGACTCCGAAAATCCGATCCAGTCATATGACGAGACTAGCTTATCAAAGGCACGATTGTCTATGCTGGTTATTTTAATACGGCCCGGTAGTTGGCGCGATGCCAAGTTACCAAAAGAACAATGACAGGCCACAAAGTAGTGGTCAGCGAGTTTTTCTGTAATAATGGCCGATTTAACGATCGACGCAGATGTTCTGATGTTGATATGGTCAATGCAGGAGCAAACTAGTCTGTCTAATAGAAACTCTTCACGAGTTGGAGCATTAATAGTGCACTCTATCCCATACGTTGACAAGATAGTTAAGTATTTGCACACCGTAGATTTGGTCGTGCTTAAAATGTCAATATTAAAATCTCCTACAAGGCATAACTGGTCATGCATGGTGAGACTACTTATGTAAGATTCAAGTTCTTCCAGAAAAGATCCAACGTTCGTGGAAGGCGGTCTGTAGACTGCCAAAAAACATACCGAGGTTGCCGCGTTTCCTAGAGAAAGGGCGACACACTCTGCGTGATTGAAGTGCAAAGAAATATTAGTAATGGACCACTTCTCATTCACGAAAACCGCGATGCCACCTCCATGACCACCACTCCTCCTCGGCCTCCTCTACTGAGACCGAGGAGGAGGAGGACACTTGGGTCTTGGCAGCCGATCGCATACTGCGATGGCTCCGGGACCATCCCGACCACGATGAGCTTCCCAGCGAAGACGAGGGTCGTCAGTCAGACGAGGAAGAAGACTCCCGACTACCCCTTTTGCCAGATCCCGTGTGGCACCCCGTGCGCCAGAGCGCCCCCCCTCCGACGGTTGACTGGGAAGCTACGGCTTCCATTTTTTCCTTTCATCCTGCTGCAGATTACTCGTCTCTTCGGATACGCTGCGCAGCAGCATCAGTCATTAATAACCGTCCTCCTCAACCTGACCAGCTACCAGTCCTTCGTCAGGCAGTCCGCTCAATGCATAACTCTGGCCTCCTGCGTCTTACTTCCAGAGGGCCCTACCTTAGCCCCATTCAGTTGGCTCCTAAGTCAAGCACAGAGTCCCGTTTCATCTTGGACGCCAGTCATCTTACCCGCCATCTTCCGGCCCCTCCCTTCCGGCTGGACCCTTTGCCAAAAGTCCTCCTCCAGGTCCCCTTGCCCAACCATTCCTTTTTTACCAAGGTGGACCTGGCGGAGGCCTTTTATCACATTCAACTCCATCCGTCCGCTCAGCGGCTTACCACCTTTCGCCTCGATGGCAGGTATTTTTGCTTTACCCGGCTTCCGTTCGGAGTGGTAACCCGAGACTCTGCCTTGGCCATCCTGACACAGCCAGACCCCAACATCTTCCTCCGAGAAACCCTGGCGTGGACTCTCGCCGCGCTTCTGGCACCACCGTCCTCCCTCATCTTTACCGACAACAAGGCCCTTCGCCATGCTGTAACAAGTGGCCACCTCCGAGCCGTGCCGTGGCCCCTCGGACTTACTGTATCTTTTCTTTCAATAAAAAAGGACCTCCGAGCCAAGTGGCTCCCCACGTACTGCAACCCCGCCGACATGCCCTCAAGACTTCCGCACTACCTTTTCCGCCCATTCCCTCTCGGGATTGGCTGAGGGCATGCCGGCGAGGGAGAGGGGGCGATGACTATATAAACACCACGCCTCTCTCTCAGCGGTAGTTGGGTTGACACCGAGGGCAGCGAGCAGTTGCGCTCCCCTCAACGAGGTTACAAAGTTCTACACGCGGAACACCGCGTGTAGAACTTACCTATATCCCGGTAAAGAAAATTGATCTGTAGCAACAGAGGAAATGCTTATTTCTGTTAAAACAAAGACATCTACCAGCGAACTAATATCCCTTGAAATTATCTCGAATTCATTCCAATGCTTCCGTATGCTCCTTATATTAACATGTAAAACAGAAAAAGAGTGGTCATGAGAGACTCCAAGAAACTTTCTTAAAGACGAAAAATCTGAAACCTGAGCGAAGTTTGTCATGCAACTAGATAATCTTTTCAAGGTCTAACTTATGGTTGATCCTCACAGGGAGAGAACCCTCCATCTTTCTGGCGTATATCTTAGCCCTTGTCACCCACACGAATTTGTAGCCTCGCTCCTTGCCTCTCTGTCTAGCCTGCCAAAGCAGCTCCTTGTTCGCACGAGTCAGGTTGTCGTTTAGGTACAATTTGGGGAAAGGACCAACCTGACTGAGTGCGGGAAGCTTTCCCCGCGCTTCCATCCACGATTCCTTCATGCTGACCGAAGCAAATCGAATTAGAATCGGCGGGGCCTTTTCACGTTTGGCAGGCAAGCGATGTATAGCGAGTATATCGGTTTTATGGAAGTGAGAGATGTTCAGCTTTTCCGCGAGAGACTCAATAAAGGATAATAGGTCTTCTTTAGGCGAGACAGGAAGTCCGTGCACTTCGAGGTTGGAGAGACGACTGTGCTGCTCGTTGTCGTTGAGCGCGCCCCGGATCTCCTGGATTTCGGCTGCTTGTATCTGCACAGTTGACTTTAGTTGCGACAGTTCGTCCTGGAGACCTTTGCCAGTTTGCTCGTTGGCTGTTGCCAGCTTGAGAAGACGATCATAGTCAGCGGAGAAGAAGTCCATGGACTGTTGAATTTCGTTGACTGTCTCTCTCAGGCTCTCAACCAGTGGCTTTACCAATAAGAGTTCGTTAAGCTGCGCCGACAGAAACAGGAGGGAATCTACACTTCCTTTCAGGGTGAGCAGCCCATCCAGCTTCTCAGTCATGGCAGCCAGCTGAGCAGATAGATTCTCCACACCCTGCGAGGCTTCGATCCCATCAGGTGGTCCCGCTTGACTCTCTTTCCCACGGCACGTCCGGCATCTCCACTTGTCACGCTTAGACTGACCCATAGTGGTGAACGTCTTGTCGGCGATACCGGAACAAGTCTGGCCCAAATGGTAAGCACCTTTGCAGTCTGCGCACGACATGTGCCTTCCATCGGTCTCCACTGACTTGGTACACGCCACACACTCGATGGTTGGAGTCATAGTTGAATCGACGCGCAAAAAGGTGGCGAAATACGTGTACTGCCGTTAGGCTCGAGAAAAGCGCAGCGAAGTAATGACCCAAGCCAACGAGGCAGGTAGCTAGTCAGGATGGCTGCCGGTCTCTGCACACTGACGGCACGACGGGCGTTGAGAGCAGAATAAGGGAAGCTGGATACCCAATACAGTAAACCTACCGGCGAATCTAAAAAGTCGAGTCAGACCGCAGCTGGGAAGGGTGGGAGAAGGCATGAGACGCCACGATACCTGGTCATAGATGGTCGCGCAGGCATTTCCTGGAGCGTCAGAGTGGCTAGGCCTCACGGTGACAGAAAGCCGCAGCCAGCTCTTTTGAAGATATCCCGTCGAAGATGATCATGGCAAGGTCAGCACAACTCCAGGCATCAAGTCTTCGTCCGCAGGAGTATGCCAGATCACGTTTTTCTTGCTTTCGAGGGAAATCCTCGGACGGTGAGAACGATCACCGGGTCATGCAAACATCATCTTCTTCTTCTTGGTACACGCCACACACTCGATGGTTGGTTGATGGTTGATTAAAACCACTTACGCCTATATTCGCACTGCTTGCCTTGCGCGAGTCTCACGAGTGGTACCACCGTTCCCACGCACTCAAGCACTTTCTAAGGGATTTAGTGGTTTTCAATGACGCTCATTTGCTATGGGAACGACATGTTTATACTCAATGTTTAAAATGTTAACTAATAAACTTCAGTTAATTACCCGATCGGTATTTATAATTAACAGGTAGTAGTAAGCCGTCTCCCCCCCCCCCCCCCCCCCGCCCTTCCTCCCATATTGTGTGCCTACCTGCACCTACAGCATTTGTGTAACTTTCAAGGCTGTTTAAACAAATGTGTAAAGCGTAAAAAAAAAAAAGACATTCTGCATAAACTGTTGATTGGTACCATCTGAAGCGTTCGGGCGTATGGCGCAAGGTTTGCTTGTTTTTCAATGTAACAAACGCGCGTGCTGGGCTTTCGATTTCTACGCATTGGATATGCCTGGATGTTCGGTGGCTGCATAATCCAGGGATCCTGGGCTGGCTGATCCCCATTCCTGACGGTTTCGAACTGAATGAGCATCCCGCCGCGGCGTTAGGTCCTGTATTACTACGCTGAGGTGCATGTTAAGCGGCATTCGAAGGGGGACAAGTCCATGAAGAGATGTACGTGACTTCGACAGCGGGTTCGATTCCCTCCCCAGTTTTGCCGTTTAAACTGACGAGGGGGGGGGGGGGGGAGGGATGTCAGCGTTTGCAGTTCAATTTAGCTGTTCCCACTCACGACACCACCGCAAAGCGACTTCAGAGGTATCTACACTCGGCATCAGAGAGTTTAAAAATAAATTATTGTTAAAATAAGACTGCCGCTCAACCACGATGGTTTGTACTGCCGGAGCATCGCCCCCTCTCTCCGATGTGGAGCTCGTCAGAGTGCCGCACCGCGAAAGCCTGAATTCTTTACTTCGAGATGGGCGCTCCAGGGAGAAATCCGAAGAGATTTCTCCCCGGATTTCGCCCTCCAGTGAACGCCGCTTAAAGACACCGGGCTACCAATTTTACTACACTTACTGAATTGTTCATCTACACGGAAGACTGCAGACGCAACTTGGGGAAGTCTAAACAAACACGCCACAATGTTGCATTTTATACTTCCTAAGGACGGTTCCGTCACTTCAAAACTCAGTTTTTCACGCGTCACACTCGTTTAGGTTGACTCCTAACGTGTGGGAGTGTTCTTTTCAAGAATTATTGTTAGTTTCAGAAAACAATCTCCAACCTTGAAGGGGTCAGTTTCCGTCAGAGGTTCCACTTATAGGTTCCACTCAGAGGTTTTACTCAGATGTTCCACTTAGAGGTTCCGTCAGAGGTTCCGTCAGAGGTTCCACAATATTGTATTGAAATACGGTTCTAGAACCCGGCCATGAACTCGATGTCGCTTCTGTTAACGAAGCTTCGCGTGTAGCGCCTTCGTGCTCGAGAAAGTTTTTTTTCCCTAGATATTTATCACCCAGAAAATAAACCAATTTGGTAATTCAAGAAGCAAAAGCATGCAGTCGAGCTGGTTTAGGAGACATCATAATCTAAATATTTATCCGTGTCTCAGGAGTTAGATATGAGATTTAGTATGTTAGAAATATACCATAAAGAACCTAGTACCTAAAGAAAATATATAAAAAAAAACTTTTGGGTTCTTTTCTAACTAAAGAAAACATACATTAAAAAAAAAAACAAAAAGAAAACCTAAATCCCTTTTCTCACCCTGAAAAGGAAAACTTGAAAAGTTCCAAAATTATTTTTCCCCGAAAAAAGACATTTTTAGCGTAATGCCTATGACGCGGGAAGTTATTCTGAGTTTTAAACAAAACATAAACCGAATTTCTTCTAAATGTTATGCTAAAAAATTATAAGAGCAACGGAGCTATATTTCATAGCTCCCATCCGCTGTATCTGATCAACGCTTGGAAAGCTGGGTTTAAAGCCATTGCCATGCGTTGTGAAAGTTTATTTATCGACATACTTTTATGTTTGAGAAACAAATATTATAAATAACGCCGTTATTGTTAAAAAAAGAGAGCGCTGCGTGTCCATCTTTATATATCGGGGCTGGTGCAGCCCCACTGTCCAACCTTTTGATATTTGTTTTATTGATATGACTTGATTGGCTAGTCTGCGGAGTGTGTTCTTGAAAAAAGATGGGGTTCCCTTAGGAGCTGCTCCCCGCACTGTAAAAGACAGCAAGCGTTGCGATCGCGACAATGGATTCCGTTCTCATGGGTAATGGGAATAATACGTAGCGAGTTGTATGCATAATATAAAGTATGCGTAACCCTGAAGAAACTACCCGCATGAAGTGCAGCGCCCGACTTTTTGGCGGGCGATTTGGGGAAGCTTGTGCCTCGTGCTCGGTCACGAATGAGAGACACCGCTTCACCCAAGCAAGTCTTTCGGCGAACCCCGAATAACGGAGAAAACGGTTCAGCCCGAGTAGGGCAGAATGGCGGCTCTTGCATGACGCCACGTGGCGCTGAACGCCTGGACGTGCGAGGAATAAATAGTTGCAGTTGTGTATCGATTTATTGCTCTAACCGAAATACGTGAAATTGCGTTTTTTGCATAAAGCAGTAGGCGCAAACTTTAGTCTCAGCCCTCCAGACACGCGGCGCCCTGCCAGCATAGCCATGTTATGCATGTACACTTATTCAAGCATAAGCATTAACTCTCCCATGGACCGGAGCCGGCGTTGTCCGTTACTGCAAAAAACGGCTCAGAAATTCCCTCCGCGCCGTAACCGGCTCCACAAGTGGCTGCGACACGACTCCCGCGACGTATAGTTCCAAGAAACGCCACCTCATAAAACGGCGTTGCTCCCGCGCTCCGCCGCAGCAGCGCCCAGAACGCGGCCGGCCGGCGTCCGCAGAGGCTGCCCGGCTGACATCTGCAAAGGAATGCGGGGCGCGCAGCTTGTTGGAATACGCTACGTGTACGAACTTTCGCGTAAGCGTAAGCAGTCTTAAAGGGAATGTCCGGTCGAAACCGGAAGTACTCAAGTTTTTGCGCTCGATACGCCGAGGGAGCCTTCATGTAGACAGACGTAATTTTTATTTTGATATATGATCTCCCGTTATTAATTAAACCTTTCATGAGCCTGTGTACGAAACTGCACCCCGAATTTCACCAGTGTCAATGGCTGACATGCGCAGCTGCTGCATGACGTCACAAAACGCAAAGGCAGCAAAGGTATGTCGTTTGGTCGGGATAACAAGCGTTGGTCGACGGATGTCTTGTATTTTGTTTCTAATTATATAGTCGCCTAGGCTGTACCCTACTGAAATACGGTTCTTTTAACGCAGTTCCCAAGCGTGTGCAACAAAATTCATGCCTTTTAGCAGGATATTACTCAAAAACAGCCATAAGCTCCGAGCAAACGTATGCCGTTTCGCGCAAACACAACTGCGACGGCCACCGATCGAACTAGGAGCACTACGAGCGCTTGCAAAGCAAAAGATGCAGATATCGCTTCTGAAGCGGCAACTATACTTCGTTTCACGTTATGTGTGAGCGAAGTCAAAGCTAGAAGCGCGAGCCCAACGCTCTGAGTGTTCCTGCTTCGCACGTGAGCTCGTGCACTACTGGCGCTGTTAGAAGCAGCATGCTCGCGCTTGTAGCGTCAGCTTCGCTCGTACATAAGGTGAAACGAACAATAGGTACAGGAAGCGGCATCTGGGTACACATTTCGGAGGATCCACACAATTGGTGATGAGACTGAGGGTCGTTCCTTGGGAGGCGATGTCGGCGGGTCGTAGGCAAACCGCGAATCGCTCAAATGTCGTCACTTGACTTGGACGAGCTTGGTGAATCGTAGCCACGCTCTATTTTCACATGCGGGTCAAACAAAATTTGGCTGCACGCGTGCTGAAAACCTTTTGGTATCGTTTCCAGATGGTCTAGCTATTGGTTTCGGTTTCGCTGCATAATCAAATTGATTTATCCGATTTGGGCGAGGAGTGGATGGACGTACTCTGATATCGTTGGCACAGCATCAGACCTCAGCTTACGAGCCTTCTGTCTGCTTAGAGCTCAGCCCGTAGCTTTCTTCTGTGAGATGATTACTGCATAAGCGGGATCCCTATCTTGACGGGAACCCAGTCCCTCCGCACGGCGACTATCCATTTTGCTCGTCACTGCACGTCTCGCGGAAAATTGTGGAACGTCATGT